CTTTGCTCAACTCGTCTGAGGCGTGTCTCACTAAGCGCTACATGCTAGCATCCTGCTAACCGAGCTACCCTTTACATGCTGTGCTTTAGAAAATAGGATACTCGTTAAAAAAATACTCCGCAGATATTGATAGATAGACGAACACTGCAAATATAATGTTGGAAACGAGAACGGCCTTTGGTGAAGGGCAATCGCCCCCGTATGGAGGCGATTGTCACACACACAGTGACATCAGACATTCATCTGCTTTGTGCACAATGTCACTCCTTTCCTTTCTTCAGTGATCTACATACCATGTGCTGCTCGGTGAATACGTTTCAATGTATTCTAGCCCCTTTCCGAGGCAGCCTTATTCAGTTTATTCCCCATTACAAGACAACAATCAGCCACACGCACGTTCATTCACACTTTTTAGGCCTATGAGCTCTGTTGAAAGCTCTCTAACGCCCAGTGACGGAGAATTCAACCATCGCAAACTCTCCTAACGCCCCAAATGGTGGCCAATCCCAACCCTTCTCACGGTGGAGTAACCGAAACCCAGGTTGTCTCTAAAATCTGTCTACCTACCAAATGGCGAAGAAACCTGCGTTCCCACACGCGGCTGGCACGCTCCGGACCCACGTGTAACGCACAGTCACAGTGATGCATGAGGCCCTCTCTCTTTACTTACTGTGGTGTTGCTCCTCGTTCACGGGGAGAGCCTCTGGATCCTGTCAATCGCCATCCAACCCGAGGGGAGGTCAGACGCTAACTCACTGACCTGGTCTCCAATTCACATCCAGGACTCTCTTCACGCACCCCGGGCGCCATGGCTGTCGACAGACTTTGGCGGTCTTCGTCTCCCCCTCCTCGGTGGACACACACACGGGGAAACCATGTGTCAAAAGGGGGAGTCCAGCATTAATATAAACCAATGATTCTCCTTTACTACGATTGGTGTGTTTAGCAATCCATGTAAAGGTAAAACTTCTACAGGGGGTACATCCATGCCCTGATCCCTTTATGATGACCCATAAGTAAAGCTCGCTGAACAGAAAGTAAAGCGTGCTTTCTCCAAAGGTGGCGTTTTCAGTGGGAGAAACGTTTCGTCACTCATCCAAGTGGCTTCTTCAGTCTCAGCTGACTGCAGGTTTCCCCAATCTAAAGTGTGCTTTGATGATGGTTGATATGTTTTCAATTGGTTAGAAGGTTTTTCCTTCTAGAAAAGGAGGAGAAGCTTTTGCAGAGAACTAGCGGGATGCAGAGACTATTCCAGTTGCATCAAACAGGTGGGAGAGAAAAGGCCTGCTTGCTCAAGGAAGCACGTTCCCAGAAGCCCAGTGGGTACATCTGAAGGGGTGCAAAGGTGGACGGGACCACTCGAGCTGGTGGAGAAAATATTTCATGTGATCTAGCTGAAAGAAAAGAGAGCCTAGGAGGTCCGAAAGGCTCTGGGTCAA